AAGATGTGGGTTCGATCCCTGGTCAGGGAGCTGAGATCCCACATGTTGGGCCACAGCTAGAGAGCTGTGCCACAATTAAGACCTGACGCAGACAAAAATAAATAAATAAATAAATAAATAAATATTTAAAAAAAGAATTCCAGGAGGAAATAATCAGTAGGTGTTTCTTCAGGGTATGGTGTTCCTCTTTTATGGATGCAGAACTTGGGCCCAGCAAGCCAGGTTAGTGAGTAATTTAGGGGACATGAGGAGCAAAGTCTAGATTCAGACTCAGACATTCCTAGGTGTCTAGTGCCTTCTGAGAAGAATTAACATTGATCAGGTTGGTTTTCCTGTGTGTCCTCAGCTTGATCCTGGTACACAAGCTGTCCTCTGGCATCTCTCCCACCGCCCCCCACCTCCACTACTCTCCCCTTCCCCCGACCCCCACCCCTGGCTACCTCCCCGCCTGGGCTATTATTTCAAAGGCAGCATATGGGGCTCTTCAACTCTTCTGTCCTCAGACCCTCTCCCACCCATATCCCATTGGCTGCTCTTGCTCCCACCTCTCCCACTGGGCCCTGCCACGAGGCTGGAATTAGCACTGAGTCAGATTCTATTAAGGAGGGAGCTACCTTTGTTTAGGAAAATGCTGTTGTGATCAGACTGATGGCAGAGGGTAAGAAAGGAGAAAACAGGAGATGGCCAGAAGATCTGCATATAGAAATAACTCAGATTTTGCCTTCTCCATGAGACCAATGCCTCTCTATTTAAAATTGAATCATGTGCCCAGTCTCCAACATGGTTGATCCCTCACCTTTACTCTTTTTGCCAGTGCAGTCACCATATCCTAATCTACCCTGTAATTTGCTTATTTATTACTTTATTTGTGTCGTGTCCCTCCCTCTAGACTATACTCCTACAGAAGGCAAAGTCCTTCTTTGCCCAAATACCTCCCGAGTCCCTAGAGTGGGCATGGGATGCCCCATTTGTTGATTAAATGCATGAATTTAAGGAAAGAAGGAGACCAGCCACAATCTGGACAGGGTGGGCAGCAGATGGACAAGGAGTATATTCAAGAGTAGAGAATTCTTAATATTTAACTGCCAGCTGGGAAGTGTTGGTGAGATGCCTACCTGAAACCTCTGTGTGTGTGGTGTGTCTGTGTGTGAGCGTGTAAGTGTCTGAAGGGGCAGGAACAGCAAGAGGGAAGGGAGCTCAGATCCACACCCTAAGCCAGAAGCACACACACCACAATGGGAAGGTGCTGGGAGGAGCCTGGCCCATCTCTGCTGTCACCAACAGAGGCTGCCCAGACCGTGCGGTCAGATGAAATGCCTAGGGTGTGGGGTGCGGCAGCAGCAGGGTCTCACACCCCACTGAGGGGCATAGGGTATTCTGCAAGCAGGGGCTTCCTGGCCCCTCTACCCTGTGAGATTGTACAGTGAGTTTATCCTCAACTTGGCTGGAGGACCCTAAGAATTAGTGAAGTTCAGACACTTGCCCAAGGAGACCTGAGCCTCTTCCCTGAGCTGCACAGCCCCCATGTGACCTGATTCTGAGTTTTGACTCTTTCCCAGCTGTGTAATCTTGGGAGAATCTGTTATGTTTCTCTCTCTTTAAAAAAAAATCATTTATTTATTTTTGGCTGTGCTGGGTCTTCCTTGCTGTGTGGACTTTTTCTCTAGTGGCAGCAAGAAAGGGCTACTCTAGTTGTGGTGCCCGGGCTTCTCATTGTGGTGGCTTTGCAGAGCACAGGCTCCAGGCACATTGGCTTCAGTAGTTTTGGTTCCCAGGCTTAGCTGCTCTGAGGTATGTGGGATCTTCCCGGACCGTGGATCAAACCTGTCTCCTGCACTGGCAGGCGGCTTCTTTACCACTGAGCCACCAGGGAAGCTCGGTTACATTTCTATTATGTACCTTGGTTTCCTCATCTGTAGATGGGCTAATCAAGGCGACTGCTTTACAAGGTCAGGATAAGGTGATACTTGTGATCCATCAACTGGTCATGGAATCCATCTGGTGGGTGGCAGCCCACATGAGACAATGCCAGGGACATATTTGGCTCCTTTGTGTCTTTTGCCAAAGGCAGGCCCTGACCAAAGTTTTTCCCAATTCCTGGAGGCTTCAGAGACTGGACCAGCATCACAGCTTACAAGGGTTAAGCTGCGTATGACTCTACAGTTGGGCGGGGCCCAGTCTGGCTCAGAAGCCCCTCCCTGTAGGCAGTTGTGCTTTCTGATTGTGCAACCACCTGCTATATAAGGCCCCTCACACACCTTCTCTAGCCTTCTGCTGGGATCCACCTTCTGCAGGGCAGTCTCTGGGCCAGACAGAGAAGGTAAAGGACTGGGGCTGGGCTTTGAAGCGGGGCCCACCCTGGGAGCAGCTGAGAACAGGGGAAAGTCATTCAGAGCTGTCTGGGGTCCAGGGCATTCTCTTGGTTCTCGCTCCTTCAGCAGTGCCCGGGAGGGGAAGGCTGGAGTCGAGAGGTACTGGACTTTGCTCTGTGTGTTCGCGATGCTGTTTCCCTCTCACAGTTTTTGTGAGCTCATGCTCCTCTGTGTAACATGAGAGTGATTGTGACAGGACCCTCTCAGACTGCTGAAAATGTCCAACGATACAATGAGGGGGAAGGACTTTGCAAAGGGGTGTACAGATGCGCTTGCTCTCATTTTCCCTGTGGGGCCCTCTGCTCTGGCCCCCAGTTCAAGGGCCCCTCGGTCCCACCACCTTCAGTCTCTGTCTCTCTGCTGTGTGTTCCTGGGCAGAGTCCTGACCCCTCTGGGCCTCCATTATGTCCCTCTGAAAATGAGGCTAGTCATCAGGTCTGAACCACAGGGCTGAGGTGATTTGTGCACTTAATTGATGTGGCTTCTGTGGCCTCTTTCTCATTTTTTGTCCTATCTCCTATTCCTTTATAGCCACAAGGCTTGAGATGCCCTTCCTGGGAAGCCCAACCCCTAAACCTCTCTCTGCATTGGGGTTCTGTGCCTGGAGCAGTGACTGGGCATGGGAGGATGTAGGGTACAATGCATAGAACATCTGCCACAACCGCCAAACCAAACTTTTATTTTTCTCCTTGGATCTCTAAATGTTGGGGCCATTAGATAATTGATGGGCCATCTGCCTTCCCTGATTGTGACTAGTTTCTCTTTCTTTTCACTGTCCCCTAATAGCTCATAGTGTTGTGCGTGTATGTGTGTATGTTGGCAGGGGGTGCATGTGTGGTTGGTGAAGTGGGATGCAGGCGGTGGGTTGCAACGCCCAATAGAAGGTTTGCTGCTCTTTAATAAGTGGCAGTGTACTCTTGCCTGGAAAATCCCATGGACGGAGGAGCCTGGTAGGCTGCAGTCCATGGGGTTGCGAAGAGTTGGACATGACTGAGCGACTTCACTTTCACTTTTCACTTTCATGCATTGGAGAAGGAAATGGCAACCCACTCCAGTGTTCTTGCCTGGAGAATCCCAGGGATGGGGTCGCACAGAGTCGGACACGACTGAAGTGACTTAGCATCATCATCATCATCATTGTACAGCTCGGTTTTGGACATGGAAGGACACCGAATGTGTCCCACTTTTGGTCTCACAAGCTGGATGAGTCTGGGCAATTTTCATTATCCCTCCTTCTGCAGGTTTTTCAGCTGGGGAGTAGGCAAAAATCTTTATAGCAGCACTGTGCCCTGGGACTTGTTTCATACCTGCACTGGCCAATACAGCAGCCACCAGCCACAGGTGGCCACTGAGCACTGGAACATGGCTGGTCTGAGAAATAATATGTTTCCTTTTTATTCCTTCAATGAATCCAAATGTAAGTGGCCATATGTGGCTCCTGCCTACTGTTCACAGGATAAATGAGCTAATGATAAAGAAGGACTCAGTGCAGAGCCAGACATTTCCCTTTCGTGCTGCTTTGATGCATGGGCAAATTGGAATTTCAGGAGCTCTGATTTAGGATATTTATTTGTTTAATTTGAAGTATAGCTGATATACAATGTTGTGCTAATCTGCGGTATAGCAAAGTGACTCAGTTTTATACATATAGGCATTCTTTTTTAAAAAATATTTTTTTACATTATGGATTATCACAAGATATTGAATATAGTCCCTTGTGCTATATAGTAGGAACTTGTTTATCCATCCTATATATAGTAGTTTACATTTTCTAATCCCCAACTCTCAGGATCTTAATAAATACAGCTAGACCTTAGCTATTAGACAACTTACAGGTGCAGAGAGATTGATGACAGACCAGTCAGAGTTGTGCTGGGACCTTTGGGGCTGGGGCTTTGGAAGTCATGTCTGTTGGAGGCAGTGTGGAGTGAGGATTAGGGATCTGGACCAAATCCAGCTTTTATCCCTCTCAGGAGTGTGACCTTGACTTTGAGTGCTTACCTAACTTCTCTGGGGCTTAATTTCCCCCTTTGAAGTGAAGGTGATCCTAATAATAGTACCTGCCTACAGAGGTGGAGGAATTACATGAATCAGTGCACATAAATGTTCAGAACAGAGTTAAGTGCTCAATAGGTGTCAGCTTATTGGAATGGTGATGGCAGAGACAGAGCCCCTAAGGGCATTATGGAAATGTGGCAAGATTCCAATTAGAGGATGGACACTATGCTCTGGGAGAGGAGAGCCCAGCTTTCTTCTTTGACCCCCATCCTCAGTGGGGCTGGCAATCATCTGCCCACCCATTTTGCATCTGTAGTGGCTCTGTAGGAAATGCCCTGGGCTTTCGTACCTGTGTGTGAAGATACCTTTGTAGGCAAAGGGAAAACTCAGATTCTTGTGAGTATAAAGGCAGGGTTGAATCTGTATCACGGCTCTGTGCTTCCAGCTGACGATGGTGATTCCTTCTGTCACAAGGTTGGGCTAGGTTTGTTGAAGCGTGATTGCAACCCTAGGGGATATCACGCCCTGGTAATCTTCTGAATCCCCAGACTGTCCTCTTTGTGCCTCTCTCTTCAGGCTTGAGGCTCTGCAGCCGCAGTTCTCGTCCTCAGGAGGCGTGTGTCCAGCACCATGAAGGGCTTCCTCTTCGCTGGTATCATCGTCGTGCTCACGGTTGCAGCTGTAGGTGAGGGAAACCACATTGCTCCCTTTTGGAATGAAGACCTCATTTTCCACCTCACCAGAGTCTTGTCAGTCTTGGTGCTCTGGAATCCCCTCAATTGACCTCTTGTCAAGATGTGGGCAGTGAAGACTGTGAGACCCCTTCTTGCACACTGCCCGCTGTGATACCACTCTGAGCTGTGGGTCAAGTTTGGGTCTTCCAACTGGAGAATGGTAGACATCTCACAGCTTAAAGTTTGGGGGACCCCAGAGGGAAGGGATGCTGTCTTGGCTATTCTTTTAACCTGAGGTAAGGGTGGTGCTTTATCCAAAGCAAACTCTATTAATGTCTCCTGAATGTTGACGATGCCAAACATTTTGTTTCCCCAGAATCCCAGGATCAGAATACACTGCACTGTGTACAGTGTAATTCATTGAAAGATAGCTGTGATGCAAAAAATGCCACGGTGTGTCCCTCAAATGCTAACATCAGCTGTACAAGTTTCTCAACCAACTTTTCTGACGGTGAGCCTCAGGGGGTGATCATTCTCGTTTCTGGAACTTGCACAGGGCAGATGCTGGAGAGGCTGGCCAGGCAAAGGAACGCTAAGGCTGGGCTGTGCACAGAGAGAGGGAGACATGAAGGCACCTCCCAGGAGAAGCAACACGCAAGTGGTAGAGCCAAACAGGCAGCCAAGCCTCTGAGGCTCCTTGGAATTGCCTCCTCTGGCTGAAACCTCACTGTAGGCCCGTGCTAATGAACACGAGAAGCAGGGACAGCCCCTAGCTAAATTATAAAGCAGTCAGCTTCCTCTAGGTGCTTTCATTTGTCCATTTTCTGCTCCCCTTTCCTTCCTCTCAGTGTTCCTTCCTGTTTTAGATTCAACATACTTTCACTCAGACTTCCTTCCAGGGTGTTTTGCTGGTATGATTGTTACAACTTTTTCAGAGCATTTTGATTTATTTTTAACTTTTTATTATGAGCATTTCAAACATACACAAAAGCAGGAAGAGGAGTATAGTGAACTGGGGTCCTGTGTCAACAGTTAACATTTTGCTATTTTTTTCCCATATCATTTTTATTCTTTAAATTTTTATTGAAATATAGTTGATTTGCAATATTGTGTTAGTTTCAGGTGTACAGCAAAGTGAGTCTTACACACACACACACAAATTCTTTTCCATTTTAGGAAAATGGATTCTTTTCCATTATAGGTTATTACAAGTTATTGAGTATGGTTCCCTGTGCTATTCAGTAGGTCCTTGTAGGTTATTTATTTTATATATAGTGACATGTATATTTTAATCCTTGACTCCTAATTTACTCCCCATAGTATTTTAAAGCAAATCTAGATAACATGTTATTTCCCCTATAAACACTTCATTATTCATCTCTGATAAGAACTCTCCCCCACTTTTTACATAACTACCATACAATGATCACACCTAAGAAATTAGCTAATTTCAAATTTTAAAATTAAGGTGACCTTAAAAATGTTCAACATATTTCAAAGATATTGAGATATAATTGATGCATTGGAATTTGGACCCAAACAAAATTATATTTTGCTGTTAGGTCTATCGTGCCTGGTTTGTTTAGTAAGATCTCTTTTTTTGCTCAATTCCACTGAATTGTTGGAGAAATAGGGGCATTTGTCCTGTAGCTGTCTCAAATTCTGGCTTTGCTTGATTGCTTCTTTGTGATGTTATTTCACTTGTTCCCCTCTTCCTGATGTTTCCTATAAACGGCACTCATGCTTTTTCAGTAGAAATTTTTTCATGATATTAATGTGTATATCAATGCTGTCTTATATATACATTCAGTTATTGATCTCTTGAAATATGAGGAAGTGATTTGTAAATGACCACATAGAGCTTTATAAATGACCACCATATTGCATAGCTTTGGTCTATAAGCTTTACTGGTTTCAGGTTCAATATCATGTTGTGCATAGACTCATCACATCTGCTTGGCTATACTTAGAGATGTTAAGACTGACCAGTGGGCTCTGGGGGTGTCAGTGTAAACATCCACTTCAGGCTTTCACCTGGAATTTAAGCTGCGAAATCTCCTGCTGAAGCCAGAATCTACTTTTTGGGGAAGGATTTTTCTTTTTGCAGGAAATTCTCTTCGGTGTCCCCTAAATTGCATTGAGCCGAGAGTATATTTTCTGTCCTTGCCTACAGCAGTTGCTCCCTGAACGCTTTGTTCCCAGGACTGATAGTCTGTGTTTGCCTTTGTGTAGGAGAAAACTCCATATGGTATGAGGATCATGCCTGCTCTGCAGAGAACTGCAGTGAGACCACGGTCCAGCCTTTCACGGTCTTGGTATCTGAAAAAGAAATCTTCCACTTTGAAAGCCAGTGTTGCCTAGGAGAAGCATGCAATCAAACCGGTGATACCACTGGTGGGTGCTGGCCACATCTTCCCTCTGTCCTCCTAGATCCATCCCTTCTCTCACCACTTGTGATTGTCAATCTTAGGTGGACACTTTAAGTCTAGGCACTTCAATGCCTATTTGGGTAACATTAACAGCTGACATACAACAATTACTTGAGAAACAAATCAAGAAAACCAGCTCTACTATTATGCTTTCTGTTTCTCAGTAAAGACAGAAACCACAGCTCTTCAACCTGTGCGGGAAGGCAGTAGATGCTCATTAGTAGCTTTCAAATTTTGTGGCCTCACACCGTCTTTCCAGATGCTAAGTCTTAAAAATTACTGAGGGACCCCAAATAACTTCTGTTTCTGTGGACTATATCTATCAATATTTACTGTATTAAAAATAAGGCTAAGAAATTTTTAAAATATTTGTTAGGTACTAAAAAATAATAAAACCCACTACATGTTAACATTAATAACATTTTTATGTTATTAGAATAGAAATAATTATTTTCCAAAACAAAATATATTTAGTGGAAAGAATGTCATTGCTCCATGTTTTTTCAAAGCACTTTAATCTCTGGTTTCATAGAATACAGCTGGTTCTCAGATTTGCTTGTTCATTTATTCTGTTGCAATCTTACATGTCATGTTGCCACTGGAAAACTCCATTGTATTTTCATGAAAGAAAGACAAAGAAGCAAAGAACATCTTAGTATCACCATGAAAATAATTTTGACCTAGTGGATTCCCTGGAAGGATCTCAGGGATCCCCAGGAGTTCCTGGACCGTCATTTGAAAACCGTTGGCTTAGATCAAAGCCTTTGTTTTGAAGAGGAGAAAATGTGGCCATAGTCATAAAGCACGGTTCATTTATAGCAGAGCTGGGTCTCATATAATTTTTCTTCCATCTATTTTTATTAGTTGGAGGCTAATTTCATATAATTTTTAAAAAAATCAAAGTCATAATGATAAATAATTACTTGATTTCAGTTGTTCAGAGCAAGATTTAGTAATAGTCACACATCTGTTGGCTAAATCCAGAATAGCTGGCTAATGTTAGTTTTAGCTCAAAATCTTACCTTTCCCTTCTCATCTCAACACACTCATCGACCACAGTTCTTGAAGAGTAGATGGTCTGTAAGGGCAGATCTGTGAGGTTAAGTGCTGCAAATATTTTGGTGGGACATGGGAGTAGGATAACTGGTATTTTTATGGCAGGATCGGAGATTCCTGAGCATGCAGAGACCCTGAGAGGTTTCTCTGGCTAGCATCTTTGTCTGCATTTCCCCTTCCACTCTAGGAAGTACCATGATCTTTGTGATAGCACTGTTCTGAGTTAATGATTCTTACTCTACCCAGTTCCTCCACAGTCCGGCAACATAGAGTGCCCTGCATGTTATGGAAATAATGAAACTTCCTGTAATGAAACCCGGAAATGTTATGGAGAAAGATGTGTCAGTATAATCGCAGAATTTATAAATGGTATGTGAATTCCTTTTTATGGGTCTTGAGTTTAAAACACATATTACACCTTGGATCATAAATTCTGGATTCACAAAAAAAGGCCTGGTGGAGATAGGATGAGGAAATATGGTCAGGGTACCTTTGAGATAGTGAGGCTGTTAACGTAGCCTTGAGTGCTTGCTATTTTTGCGTCCTAGGTCCAGTGTCATTCCTCTTGGGCTGTCCATCTTTTGAATTCTATTCTCTTTATGACTTGTAATCAAGCCAGGCTCATTTAAGGGCATCACGTCACTCCTGGCATTTATTTCTTTACTAGGTTGAGGTGTTCTGTAGGTGTGGGTGAGTTTGACTTTTATTACTTTTTATATGTAACTTCCCTTCTCTACCCGTCATTGAGAGGTGTTGGCTTTTGACGACTAGAGTTGCCTAGAAGGGACACTCAAATTGGACTTTAATACCCAACCAATTGGAAAAAGAGCAAAAACAACATTGAAATAAAAAAGCTATTTTACACCTTAGGTATGATCTATTCCCCTTGGTCATGGTGTAAATCAATACAGTGTTTCCTACTTAAAAAAGTCAGTGGATATTTGAAAATGAACAATAATGATGATTTCTCTCAAAAAATCCAACCGTTATTTTGTACAGAAGTAATTTGATACTAACTGTTATGAGATACAAATGAACCATCATAAAATATAAAACTAATAATATTACTCTTTAAATATTCAGAGAAATGTTATGCATGATTATTTAAATAATAATACATTTATTAACTATTACTATTTGCCAATTACTAATGCTAATATTACCAATATAACACTATTAGTGTTAGTTAATTACTGTTTAAGGGCAATTTCCATGTCTTATGGCTCAATGCAACATAGCTTATTTCTTGCTCATGGAGCAGTTCATTGCAGAGTCCAGGGCCCTTCCTTTCTTCTTGAGGCTCCAGACCCTACTCAGGACTTGGCAGCTCTCTTCTGTATTCTTTGCATCTCACCAGCAGGTGGGGTAAGAGGGGGAGTGGAGGAAGGCAGGAAGGCAGGAAGGTTATTACAGGCAATGCCTAGAAGCGAGTGCCTCACTCCCTTCCACATTCTGTTGTCTGGAACTCAGACTGCCCTGGAAGGTGGAAATTTAATCCAGTGGTGACACAGCAGGAAAGGAAGAGGCATAAAGCTAAAATGAACAGTCAGTCTCTGCCACAGTATGCCTTACAATAATAAGAGTTTAAAGAGCATCAATATCCAAGTACAATTTGATTTCAACTTTTGTTAAATGGCAGTTATGGTTTTGGAATTTGATGCTTAATTGTAATTGCAGATTTCTTAGTGGGGCCAAACTTCATACTTCTCCTGAACTTCTTTTTACTTAAAAAAAAAAATAGACTTTATTTTTTAGAGAAGTTTTAGATTCACAGGAAAATTGAGAGGAAGATATATTTTTTTTATAATTGTTTCCCCATACACATATATAGCCTTTCCCACTATCAACATCACCCACCAAAAAGGTACATTGTTATCATCCATGAACCTATACTGACACATTGCTATCATTCAGAGTCCATTAGGGTTCACTGTTTGTGCTGTATATTATATGGGTTTTGACAAATGTATGATGGCATGTATCTACTGTCATAGTATCATGCATAGTAGTGTCACTGACCTGAAAATCCTCTGTGCTCTATCTAACCCTAACCCCTGGAAACCTCTGATTTTTCTTTACACTTTCTATAGTTTTGCCTTTATCAGAATTTATATGGTTGAATTCATATAGTTTGTAGCTTTTTCAGAGTGATTTATGTCAGGCAATAGTATGCATTTAAGGGTCTTGATGTCTACACAGCTCTGATGTCTAATTCTAAAGCTTTGCCTGAGGGCAGCAATGGCATAAGAAAGACTTGCTGTTTCTGCTTACCTTATTGCAAGGTGTCTGCAAAGTCCCAGGCCTTGACTCAATCTGAAAGCCAGACAGATCAAAGTCATCATAAACGTAGGATTTTGTTTTTGTTTTTGCCCAAGGTCACTTAAAAAAATACTGTAGACGTGTGCCAAGCAACATATCTTCCTCACACACTCTAATTCAACCTTCAACACTGATATTTACTCTAGAACAACAATGAATTTCTTTCTTTACTGGTATTTGGAAGTTTCTCCTTCCTTCTCAGAGCAAGGATGGAGTCAGCCTTGAACTCAAATTGTAGCCCTGCTTCTAACAAATAGCCAGTCATCTCCTCCAGCCCCTTCCTCCTCTGTGAACTGCCTGTCCTTCAGGACAATTTGGCTTGCAGCCTTCAAAGCAATCAGAAAGAGTCAGAAAAGGCTTAACGACTGAATAATACACATGCACTACTATAAAGCAATACTGGCACATAGTCGGTACTCAATAAATGGTAGCTGCAATCACAATCACATCTTCTTTGCAAATTCCCTTGGTCTTTTCCTAGGACCTCACCTTAAAATAGAGTTCAACACATCACAACATGAATTAGGAGTAAAGACATGGTAGTCTCTTCATATCCCCTCTGACTGTTTCTCCTCTTCTCAAGGAAAACTCAGGTAGAGAGAATTCAGGTCCAGAGAGGAATGGGGATGGCAAGCAGAGCCTAGAGGAGTGGAGGCCAGGAGCAGTCTGAAGTGCTGACTTCTTCTTGGATTGAGAACAGAGGATTTATGGAGGGTCTGAACCTGTTCCTGCATTTCACCCCTTGCCAGTGACTCAGGAAAACACTGAAGATTTGACTCCCAGGCCCAGCTCTGGCCCTGACCTGTGAGCTCAGGCTCACATCCACCTCCAGGAGCCTCAGTTTCCTCTGGGACTGGGTCAGGGAGGGGCTCTAGACCCTCACCTCCGTGGTCACTCTGCCATTACCCTTCAGTCATTGTTCTTGGGCTCCTTTTTCCAAGCTCCCGTTGCAGGAACAGACCTGTTTCAGCTCTTGCAGGTCACTTGGGGAGGGAGGGTGAAGGGACTGTAAAGCCCTTACTGTCTCATTTGCATTCACAGAGACGACAACACTGGTGCTGAAAGGTTGCTCCAATGTCAGCAGCTCCACCTGTGAGTTCCTGGGTGTTGCAAATCAGACGTTCAGAGGAATCACTTTCCGAAAGTTTGAGTGTGGAGCCAAATCCAGCACACCAGCATCCACTTCCCCTGCCCCGACCACCTCTGACACTGTTGCTCAAGCCTCCTTCACACCCTTGGCCCTTGCCAGCATCCTCCTGCTAAGCCTGCTGCTCTGAGATCTGCACCTTCAAACATTCCCCGCCCCTGTTTAAATGCTCAGTGAGTAGCAGTAGCAGTCACAGCCATCCAGGCAATGTCCTGTGATAGCCACATTATTTTTTATTATTAAAGCATTGGTTCACTCGCTGATCAAATCTGTCCTGATATGTTCTGGGCTGGGCTTCCTTCAGGCCACTGTCCACCATCACTTCCCAGCTCCTTGCCTTTGAAATCCTTGCACCTCTGTGTGTGTTCTCCCAGGACCTCACTGACCCCTGCCCAGTTTGCTTCTGAGAAGCAGACCCTTCTGCTGTGCTGGCATCTTTTGTCTGCAATCCCGCACTTCTGGGGACTGACTTGCCACTCTTCCCATTCTCACACTCAGGGAGTGTCCCAGCCATAATGCCCTGTGTTGATGCCCGCAGTTGTATTGGCTGTAGTCAGAGATCACAGTGACATTGTCTAGAGCCCTGTCACCACGAGATCCAAAGAGGGTGCGCAGGCGTTGCTGAAGGCTGGCAGATTCCCCCGCCTAGCCTCCCAGGCAGGGGCATAATGCTGTCAGTACCTTGCTGACCAGGTGTCACAGAATGGAACATGGCTACAGAGTCCCAGCCCCTCCTCTTGGAGAACCTACAATCAATGGGAGAGTTCTCGACTCCGTAGCAGATACCCAAGGAGCAAGAAAACCGTTTGATCCAATATGTACAGAAGCCCAGATTTAGTAAAAAAAAAAACAAACTGGGGGTGGGGGGCGCGCTTTGAGCTGGACTTGGAAGAATGGGGTTTTCTGTAATAAAAACTTTTAAAGGTATAACCCAGTGTGGGTCTTTATTGTCCAAGATTGCCAATGATGATTAAGACCAAATCCACCAGAAGGGCCGTCTAGTGGTAGCTCATCACCACATTCATTCTTGTTTACTTATTAATTTTGTTTTTTTTTATTTTGAAGTAATTTTAGATTTCTCAAAGTGTTTCAAAAACAGTTCAGAGTTCTAGTACCCCCTCACCCACCTTCCTCTTACGTTTACATCTTAGATAACCACAGTACAATTACTGAAATCAGGAAATTAGCATTGAAACAATGCTGTTAGCTAATAGACCTCATCTGACTTTTGCCACTTTTCACTAATGTCCTTTGTCTGGCACAGGATCCAATTCTTTGCATTTAGTTGTTTATGTCTCCTCAGTCTCCCATACTCTGTGACAGTTTTGGAGTCTTTATTTCACTGACCAGTTGTTTTTTTAGAAATTTGAGATTGTTTGAAGTTTTCTCATGATAAGATTGAAGCTATGTTTTTTGGCAAGTATCCCACAGAAATGGTATGTCTCATAGCCTTTCATGAAATGGGACATGGGTATGGAACTCCAGTGAATCTTATCAGGAGCTACATAGTTAAAAACATTATTTATTTGGTTGCACTGGGTCTTAGTTGCAACACATACAATCTTCAATCTTCATTGTGACATGTGGATTCTTTAGTTGTGGCATACGAACTCTCAGTTGCAGCATGTGGGATCTAGTTCCCTGACCAGGGATCAAACTCAGTGCCCCCTGCACCGGGAGCATGGAATCTTAGCCATTGTACCACCAAGGAAGTCCCAGAAGTTACATGATGTTGCTGCTGCTGCTGCTAAGTCACTTTAGTCATGCCCGACTCTGTGCAACCCCATAGACAGCAGCCCACCAGGCTCCCCTGTCCATGGGATTCTCCAGGCAAGAATACTGGAGTGGGTTGCCATTTCCTTCTCTATACATGATGTTGACATTGTATCAACTGGTGATGCTAATCTTGATTGGTTTTTTAAGGGGATATCAGCCAGGTTTCTCCAACATAAAGTTACTGTTTTTTCTCTTTGCAATTAATAACAAATTGCAAAATTGTGCTGTTGTAACAAATGGATATCAGTAAAAAACAAAAACAAAACAAAACCAAAAAACTTAGGGGTTTAATACAAGAAAAGTTCATTTCTAAGTTATTTAAACCCATATAGATGTTCCTGACTGGGCAGCTCCCCTCTAAGAGTGAGGAAGAGGCCAGACTTTTTCTATCCTACAGTTTGGTTCTCCCATTCCCTGGGATTCTTGGGATCTTGGTTAAGTGTTCTGCATCCAGCTTATTGACAAGAAGAGAGTCTAGAGGATTATGCAGCCTGCCTCAGGGGTCAGGCCTCAATTACGTGGCTTTCGAGGAAGTAGTTTATTCAAATGCAGCTTGCAGGATCAAGGTACCAGGTTTAGAGCCAGTATGGCTTGGTAGTGGGGTTCCCCAGTGGCTCCAAGGTAAAGAATCCACCTGCAATGCAGGAGACACAGGAGATGCAGCTCTGATGCCTAGGTTGGGAAGATCCCCTGGGGGAGGGCAAGGCAACCCACTCCAGTATTCTTACATGGAAAATTCCATGAACAGAAGAGCCTGGCATGGCCTCAAGAGTCAGAAGCATAGCTTCAAATTCCAGCCTAGAAACTTGGGCAACATATGTCGTTTCTCCAGGCCTCAGTTTCCCACTTGTACTAAAGGGATAGTGTTATCACTATGCCTGATGAGTGGGATTGTAAGAGTTGCCAGCGTAGCTCCCTGGCAAGAAGCAAATACTAGGCATCAGCAAATGACTCCCGTTTGAAAGTAGCTCCCTCCATGCTCTAGGGAGAGAGAGGACTGCCAGAAAGAGTGATGTGGAAGGCACAGCCCTGGCCCACTTCCTTCAGACCATGCTGACCTCACTGAGGTTATAGTGTCTCAGGACCCCCTCTCCCTTTTCGTTTCCTCCCTAGAGCTCCATAGTTACTGGCACCATGATTGCACAGGCCACAGCACAGCTTGCTTACATCTTCATCTTCATGTGGCTGCTGACTCCAGCTGCCAGGGGCACCACCAGAGCTGACATGCTCTTAGAACCTCCTGGAAATTCCCCACTCAGGCTTGGTGCGAGGAAGAAGAAGTACTTTAGGGGAACAGCAAAGAGTCACACAGGGATGGGAATCCGGGTGCTGAGGTTTGGGAAGGCAGCTGGAGAGTGAGCAGGGCTAGATTCTGGGAGGTTCCACGTGGTGGAAGGACTCAGGCTTTAGATGGAGGGCTGAAGAGGGCCATGGCAGAGGTAAGTACAGAAGCAGGAAGAGGGTTGGGGTTTCATACTAGGAAGCTCTCTCAGACTGTAGGGTGCAGGTAGAAAGACAACAGGAAGACAGTGCAGGGAGGGAATTTATTTACTTTTTAAACATTTTACTTTGGATTGGAGTACAGCTGATTAACAATGTTGTAATAGTTTCAGGTGAGCAGCAAAGGGCCTCAGCCATATAAATACATGTATCCATTCTCCCTCCCAAACTCCCCTCCCATCCAGGCGGCCACACAACAATGAGCAGAGTTCCATGTGTTATACAGTAGGTCTCCATTGGTTATCTATTTTAAATAGAGCAGTGTGTTACATGTCTATCCCCAACTTCCTAACTATCCCTTCCCTCCATCCTTCCCCCTGGCAACTGTGTTTTCTCTTGTCTGTGAGTCTCTCTCTTTTTTTCTAGTAAGTTCATTTTTCTAGTAAGTTCATTTGCATCATTTCTTTTTAGATTCCACATATAGGGATGTCATATGATATTTCAGGGAGGGAGTTTAAACAGAGAAGTAGTAGGGACCTGCCCAGGGCAAGCACTCTTTTATGTTGCATAACTGAGAGTAATTGATACAATTCTATGCACTTCTATTTGCACTGCTGCCACTTGCCTCCTCACCAAGAGTAGGGAAAAGGGCAAAGCACCACTCCTGTTCAATGTCTACATTCCTTTCCTTGGCTATTCATAGTTAGCTCTGGATTCCGGTCCTCTGGGCTGGGTTTAGGACTCCCCACCTAGATAAAGCCCTTTGCTGCCAATTCCTCCTTATTCCCTGCCAGAGCTCTGGGATAAGCCCTATGTCTGAGGAGCTCCACAGAATTCTGTATTTACATTGTACAGTTGGACAAATCATGAATCACTGATTTAAAAATCAGTGGTTTCTACAATTTGCTCTTTACAATTTGCAAATTTGCCCAGGTTATTTTATTCAGAATTATCTTTATTCATATATTGTAGGATTTGTGTGTGTAATGCTCAGTTATGTATGACTATAGCCTGCCAGGCTCCTCTGTCCATGGGAATTTTCCAGCAAGCATACAGCATTGGGTTGCCATATCCTCGTCCGGGATTGTAGGATTTACAAACAGTAAAGTGTAAATGTGTTGACTAATGAGTTTTGACAAATGTGCCCATGTAACCACTCCTCCAGGCAAGATATAGAAGCCCTCTCCCCCTATATCCTCAAGGTCCCCCAGTCTCCTTGAAGTCCACCTGACTCTGGCCCCAGGCTTCCACCTGCATCTTCGCTGTCCCACCCTGGAAGAGTCAGGCAGCTCTTCTGCTCATAAAGTAAGTCCTCTACATATGAATCTCCAAGTTGTAGACTTTCAAAGATGTGAATGTGCACTTGTGCGTCCGGTCACATAAGTTAGTTCATGTGTCTGGCAGACTTTGTCACACGCGTGGATCCTCCACAAGTGGCTGTGCTTTTGTGTACTGTACAGAGTACAGTAATATAGTATCTTTATTTGAAGCTAGATCTGCTATAGAATGACTTCACTGAACTCCTTGCTGTCCAGCATGAGGAGCTTATCAATGAAGAGCTGATGGAATTGGAGGCCCAGAGAAAGCATGAAGAGAGACAGGAGGAAGAAGTAACTGAATGTATCGCTGATTCTGATCGTGACGCCAGTAGTCTTGCTGTTCACACTGTTTGCTGAACCCAGGGTAGGCAAGGCACAAGCTAAGAGGCTGGAAGAAGATGGAGGAGCCGTAGGAGTTGCAGACACATTTATTCTCTCCTGGCTGGCATGGCAGCCATAACATAACCTCATAAAACGTAATCATGATGCTGCTTCATTGTAGCCCCAGTGAAGCAGCAGCCAGGGCTTTCATAGTGAAGCTAATACAGGCGTACCACACGGAGCCCCCAGGACTTTTCCAGTGGAGCTTATATAA